CTTTAACGTTCAGCTTCATTTTTCCTGGAAATTTTTGTCAATTTTACTCCTAGATCGTCGGCCTCTGAAGAAGATGACAAGGAAGATAGTGCCTGGGAACCCCAAAAGAAAGTCCCCAGAAGGCTGAAGCAGTCTGTTCCCAAGGAATCTAAACCAAAGAGGGTGCCCCGGGCGAAAAAGAACACCCTACAGATCAATGATGGCTCAGAAGGTGTGGCCGTTAAGGAGGAGCCGGTAGGTGCTTTCACCGGTACAGGGGCACTGAGTGCTTTCCTAAGTGTGATGTTACTTTCTCTTTATATATAGTAGGACAAAGCAGGTAAATGACAAGGACTGCAGGGCCATAGTATCCTCTGTCATGGGTTTTAATAGTATTTACCATCCGATCCACTGTGTTGGAGGGGAAAGAATATTTATCAACTTGCATACTTATGTATTTTGTCATAAGCTCCATTGTGAATTTAAAAAACAACAATAAAGCATAGGTTTTTTTGTATTACAAAAAGAGGCATTTCCAAAATTGTTCACTGTGGTATTCCTTTAAATAACAGCTTCCCTAGTACATTTAAAATAATATTCTTTTAATACACAATGGATACCTGACTTAAGTCCAGGGACACATTTATTGTATATAGTAGGGGACATCGTTATACCGTGCTGTGCCCCTTGATAGGGTTTTGAATCAATCTTTTCTTCTATTATCCAACAGCTGTGTTTCTTCATTTTTACACACAAGCTTTTCACTGAGCACAATTTTAGTGGGTGGACAGGCTTTACCTATAGCTTAGAAAGTATTGACTTCTGTCATCTTGTTGGCAGAATTTGGAGGTTTTTCATTTATGGATGGCATGGCTGCACTTAATAGTAGATTGATTTCCTAACCCAGAAAATATCTCTTCTTTCATGGTATTCGTGATTCTTTGTGTAGAGTTCAGTGGTTCTTTGTGTAGAGCTCACAAACCCTTTGGGAATTTGTTATGAACCTTCTCTTCAATAATCTGAGTACAATGTACACATGTCTATCTAATTTTTTAAGTCTAGTTCAGGGGGTACAGCTTAGCAACCTTTGTCATGGTGATTTCTTGATCCTGCTAGTGATGCTTGGTATATGTATTTTTTTAAAGAGAAAAAGAGAATTTGAATAAAAGTCTCTCACCTAAAAGACATCTTGGGGGGCGGGGGGCGGTGTAGAATTTCTTTCAGAACTGCCAAAATTCACATGTTTTATAGCTCAGTGAAAGCTCATGGATCATAAGATTTGATTTCATTAGGTTTGGCATTTTGCTTTGTTGTAACCACCACTGAACAAAGTATTTGAAAACCCTATTTTGGATAGAGCTAGAATTAGTAACCTTCTAATAAATTTAAAATCTGATTTTAGCAAACACCACACACAAAATTCATCATCATTCTGTTTCTTTCCATGTTCCTGGCATTTATGAACCTACTGGTCACTCTTCTTTAGTCATTGAAGACTTAGCTCCTGCTTCATATCTTACTCTCTGCCATCTTCTGTCATCATTCTTAGTGATTTCCCTACCACTTGGATGAGCCATCTAATACTCTGTATTTTTGGTTCTTTAATCTCCTCACAGCTCTAGTGACCTTTTCTTCTCTGTCTTTACCATCGATCTCATGATCTCAACCTGAATCTTGTCATCCCCAGAAAGTGTACTACCGCTGGCATTTCTTTTTACAGTCATTGCACTTTTGTACCACCATCTTCTATTCTTCCAGCTCACTTGTTCAAGTGCCCTCACTGCCACAATTTTGCAACCTTGTCACAACTTCTCATCAGTAATTCTCAACCATAAATGCACATTAGAATCACCTGGGGAACTTTAAAAATGCCAATTCTTAGGCCCAGCTTCCAGACCAGTTAAATCTAGAAAGAATTCTGGGCTGGGCCTGGGCATCCGTGGCTTTATTTTCTTAAAGCTCCTCAGGTGATTTTTATGTATAGCCAGGGCTGGGAACCAATTGCTAACCCTTTGATTCCAGCACTCTATCACTGTTAGCCCTTTTCTTTTCCACCTGTCTAACCCAGATTCTGTAATTTACCATTTAAATCACTTTTTGTTAAATACTGTCACCGTTTTTGCCCTCCTTTCCTTCAGTGACACATGGCCGAGCAAACCCTGATGCCAGGTGGAGCCATCATCTGCCTACACTGATCAGACTGTTACTGGAAACAGTCTTACCAATGACCTAATTTGTTTTCATTTAGATTCACAATTTCAGGCCTCAAAATTGCATCAGAAATACCTGGTAGACTCATTTTTTCCCAGCAGGTTTGTTTTTCCACTTTTTTCTCTTCTTACACTTCCTAAATTCCTTTATTTTCTCTCACTCTCAGCTGATGACATTGCCTTTTATGCTGTTGAGAATATATGAAGTGTCTCATTCTCTCAGGACCAAGACAGCTATTTTGCATCCATCTTCTGTCTTATAATGGAGGAACGGTCATTCCTTCTGTTAAGGATTAGTCCCATTTTTTGGGCTTTAGATCTCATCCCCTCTTGCCTTCTCAAGGTCTCTGTTCCCTCAGTCATCCTTTTCCTTTTCTCTTGTCAGCTTTTCTTCCATGGGCTCAATTGCTACAGAGTATAAAAATGCTCTTTTATATCTAATTTTTAAGAAGCCTCTTCTTGACTCCATATCCATCTCCAGTTACCTGTCAACCTCACATAGTATAACACAAGGCCAGATTAAGGCCAAGGCCTGCTCACTGATTAGACAGGTAAAGATTCAGTGAGCCACATTTTGGTTTAGATCATTTCTTACTTATAGATACACCAAAAAGAAAAATGGTTAAATTCTTCTTGGAATCCTGGGTTTTGTTATAGGCTACATAATAACCATTTGGATTGTTAAAAGTCATTTTGAAAATCCATGAAAGCAAAAGAAAATGAACTTTTTTTAATTTTTTATTTATGCCTATAGCATCTGGTCTTCCTAGGTGGTCTCTCATCCACGTACTAACCGGGCCTGACCCTGCTTAGCTTCCGAGATCAGACATCGGGCTTGTTCAGAGTGGCATGGCCGTAGACCATGGACTGTGGCGTGAAGCCAGGACCTTCTGCGTGTAAAGCAGACGTGCTAACCACTACACTATGGAACCATGTCCAAGAAAATGAACTTTGATAGTTCAGTTTGTCAAAGATTTAGATTAAATAGGAGGAAAAATATTATCATGGAGGCTTATTAAACATTGAAGGAGGCTACAGAATCTTAGAAGCTTCAAAAATGGAGAAATATTTTCTTATATTTTTGATAGTTTTGATCTGTGTTTCCCAAAATTTTTGGTCTTTGGACCCCTTTATACTCTTAAAATTTTTTGAGACCCCCCAAGGAACTTTTACATATGTGCGTTATATCTATCTATTTATTGTATTAGGAATTAATGAAAAAATTTAAAAATATTGATCAATTTAAAAATACTTATTACATGTTAATGCAAATAACATTTTTTAATGAAAAATAAATATATATTTTTAACAACAAAAAAGTAGTGAGAAGAATGACATTGTTTTACTTTTTTTGCTAAAGTTCCTAATGTCTGACAGAAATAACAACTATATAAAGAAAACCCTTCCTCCACACAGATGACTTCCCTGGTATTTGGAAAATGGAGTATGGCTATTTGAAAATAGCTTTTTCAAATAATTGTTCTTATTTGATATTATACCAAGCTCAATAAGTGGTAGTTTCTTAAAGGTTTGTTCCATTGTGGAATCTTGAACCATATTAATGAACTTTTTATATTCTGTTACATTAAAACCCGTTGGTCTGTGTTGTGATTTGGATGGATCTTTTACCCATTCATGACTTTTTAATATGTATAGGGTCATTTGGAAAATACTAGTTCACTTATTTGTGCATATCTTTTAAACGTTAGTACCTTTCATCATACAATGTCAAAAAAATCACATTTGTTAATTTAACCACCAGTCTCATCAAAGTGTTGGGGAGCTGTCAGGCTCACAAATTTTCTAATTTTCACTTTAAAGCCTAAATTTTATTATTGGTCCAAATATCAGGTATTTCCTTGAAGCGACAGTTCTCACTTACTTCCTTTATGAGAAAATGTCTGCGAGATACCCAAGTCTGAATAACCATCGTTTTTGTCAGTCATTCTTTCAAGTAAAAGTGGTGTTCTATGGAAAAAGAAGCTAGGTCAGCTCATAATTCATATGATTGCACAAATGCTTTTCCCCAAGACAGCCACTGCATATCAGCAAGCATTGGTATACAGCAGTACTTTATGTGTACTAATCCTTTCAGTACAGAGTATTAAAAAGGTATATTTTCAAGGATTGAAATTTTAAAAATTAATAATTTTTACTGCTTAATTCTTAAGTGAAACTGACATCATTTTATTGCAAGTGTGCGGCAATGAGGGGAACAGTGATTGCTAGTACAGCTTGGCGCCACTGCCATGGTTTTTGCTACCATTGCTCTTGCACCATGAGTGCAAATATCAACATTAGTGAAAAAGGCAAATAATGTCTTGGCATTATTATGAATATAGCTTTGCCCTCCCAGATCCCTAAAAGGGTCTCAGGGTCCCCCAGGGATCTGTGAACAACATTAAGTAGCTAAAACTTACTGAAGATTCCGGAGAAGATATCTTTAAGTGTCTCATTAATGATTATTGGCTTTTCTTTCGTTCCTCTTACTTTAAACCTCTCACTTTTAGTCACTTTACTTTTTCTTAATTTTTTTCATCTGTTTCTTTTCCCTCTCCCACGAGGTAGTCTAGGTGTGGTAGTGGTGTTAATGAAGGGGGTATTAGCAAATGTTTGAGTGCTTACCATTAGCTAGGCAACATGCTCAGCATTGCACTGTGTGAACTTAATCCCCATAACAACCCGTTGAGGCAGGTGCTGTTGTTTTCCTGATTTTATAGATGAGAAAGCCAAGGCAGGAGACCATAAGTGACTTACTCATGGTCCATAGATAGTAAGTGATGAAATGGGTTTCTAAGTCAGAATCATGATATTGTCAGCATTTCAGAAACCAATATATCGCTCATGGATGTTTTTACATCAGCCATGCTCATAAGAGTGTTGTATAAAACCAGAGTGTTGGTTTAATAATAGTTTGATCTAGTTATCACAGAGACTTGAAATTCTTATGACTAGTAATGTCTCTTGGAGGCTGAAGTAAAGAAGGAATTAAATAATAATCAGACAATTACTTAATAAACCAGGACTTAGAATAGGAGAATTAGGTAAATCCATTCATTTTGGTTTATTGAATGCTTGCTGTGGCCTAGTCACTAGGCTTGTCACAATCAAATGACGATTAAATGTTTTAATTGCATGAATCCGAGGTAGTCTGATATATCCATCTCACAGGAGTGCTGTCTTACCATTGGGAGCAATATATCCAGAATCTGTTAACTCAGCTTTCTACTTCCTTGTGTATCACTTCAAAGAATGCCCATCATAAATGCTTTTCACAGTTCTCCTTTTTCTTCTCTATGGCTGACAACCTTCTGTATGATTGACGCATTCTTTCTTTAGCTATATAAATTCATTTGATCTGGTTATTATCAACTATTAATGAACCTGGGAGTCATTCTATTTTATTTTTCATATAGACATATCTTGGCTTTTTTTTTCCATATAGACGTATTCTGGTTGTCATTCTATTTTTATATCTCTGTTTTTATCCATTACGTTTCAGCTAAAAATATAGTACTCCGAAGATTATTTAGTATATATCATTTCCAGATTTAGGTGGTGGTGGGTGGGCATTAGGATGAGGGTGTGCTCTTTATTGTAGTAGTTGCCAGTATTTTCAGTAGTCATTTATATGTGTGTGTATGTATATATTTAGTTCTGTGCAGTTTTATTACATGTGTAGGTTTGTGTATCCACCACACAGATCCTTGTGGTTCCATCAGCACAAGGACCTAGTGTTACCCTTTCATAGCTACACCCATCTCCCTCCCCCGACCATGCCCTGTTCCCGAGCCCAATCTCTGACCGCTGACAACCACTAATGTGTTCAAGAATGTTATATAAATATAATCACATAACGTGTAACCTTTTGAGATTGGTTTTTCCTCCACCCAATAGAGTCTCTTTGAGATTCTTCCAAATTATTGTGTAAATAATTTGTTCTTTACTACTGAGTAATATTCCAGGGTAATTGGTTTTTATCTTCTAATTCTCATGTGTTCTCTTTGTGGTTTGATAGAATAGTTCTGTGTCTATTGCTGATGTTGCTTTGGAAGACAGAAAAAATAAATTGGATACTGTGCAGACTCTGAAAACAACAAAGACCAAACGGAAAAATTCAGCTCAGTCACCTTCAACTCGGAGGACCAAAAAGCTGAAAGTTAATGAAACCAACAAAGCCAGCAACTTCGATAGTGGGAGTAACAGTACAGATATACCGTCAACAAGCACCATGTGGGAAGGGGCATGCAAGAAGGAAGAGAGTGAAGATGACTGTGCATCTGGTCAGCCCCCTTTAAAGAAAATGAAGACTGAAACATGTCCTCAGGGGCAGCCTGTCATGTTCCCAGCAAATGCCAACAATATTATAGAGGAGGTGGAAATGAACTGGGACATAGTACAGGTATGTGCAGTCTTTTTCTGTCACTTTAGTTCTCTTGATTCTTTTCTTTTTCACTAGGATAAGCATGTCACTGGCTAATGGAAGGATTGGGAGTTTCCTATTCTCTTTTCAGTTTTGTCATTGATTTCTGGAGGCTTTGGCCACTGGTTCTTTTCCTGGATACAGTATTTTGTATCATAGCTTTTTGTCATCAGTTCTTCAGCTAAGAGCTGTGACCTCAGGAAAGGTCTGTCTGTCCCATAGTGTTTTAGTGAACATATGTAATACAGATAGATTGCACCAACATATGGGGCCCTCAAAGCTTTATTGTTAAGTTTTCACTTTGAACTTAGACTGTATTTCTCTGTAAAAGCAGTGCAAGTGATTAGGCCTTTAGTTCATCTATTTAACATTTAGTGTAATGTTATACTATGAACAAGACCTAGCAGTTCCTTAAAAGAAAATTCTGTCTGAATTCAGCTTGAGGTACCATAATTATATCTCTGACTACAGGGGAAATCGGATTTCCCCCTGTTTCTTTTGCTGGCTTTTGGGGTGGTAAAGAAGACAAGAGTAACACTTAGTGATTCTCAACCCTTTGTCTGCCCTAACACACTCCGAGAACATTTCACACTAAATTATAACAGTGGTTCTCAGGGTAGATGGGGTTGACCCCCTTCCCTTTTGGCTGTCCCTGGGAATTCTGGTGTGTACTCCGTCCCCTGCTGTGACTTGCTGCTCTAGAGCCCGAGACCCCTGCTGTATCTTAATACTACTTCTCAGTCTGAGACTGTCTGTGTTACCCTTTTCTTTAAGGAACTTTTTTTTTTAACCCATGCTGCCTTTTCTTTATATTAGTAGAACATTGCCAGTAATTTTTAATTATGATTTTTCTGCGCTCTCACCCGCTAAGGAATACACTGTTGCTTCACAGCTTTCTTCTCTTGTTCCTGAACTAAATAGTCCGAAGTTTCTTAGAGAAACAGAGTATAATTAGCCTCCTTTCTATGTCTTTTTATTCATTTAGGCCTATGAGGAAATGTTTTAAAAGGGTGATTCATGGGCTACCTGCATCAGATTCACCCTGAAGACTTTCTTAAAATGCAGAATCCTTGGTTCAGACCACACCTACAGGGGCCGGTGGACATGTCCCACTTCCCTTCTCTTCCCCTTTGCTAACACTTTGAAGCTTATTTCTGTGATTGACATAGATCCATCTCTGGTAGTTGACAATGAGCAGGAGGGAGAGAGGAAGGTTTCAAAGACCCTGAAGTCTCTTAAACTGTGGTGATAAATTATTCATTGTTAAGTCAAGGGCGAAGTATTCTATGATACTTTGCTTCATACTCCTTTCTCTTAATTTTTGTTACAGAGAGAGATAAAAATGGCTTTGTCTTAGCCATTTGTCTCTTGGTTACAAGTAATAGAAACCTACTTCTAATGAGCTTAAGCCGAAAAGTTTATTACCAAAGGACACAGGGACCTCTCAAAGAATGCAAGGGATAAAATGTGATCAAGCCTCTCAAAGACCTTGAACCAAAACGTGGAAAATGTTGAGGACTTGAGGAAAATGCACAATTTTTGCTTTTTCAGGTGTCTCATGACTACTATTTCTGCTGCTTTTATTTTTATTTTCTCTCGGCAGACCAAATTCTCTGCTTCTTTATGGAAGCTGAAAGATCACAGATCCCCAATTTATTTGTTATTGGTTTTAGCTTGTGAGAAAGGAAAAGTATATGGTGAGAACAGGTTCCCAACTGCCAGAGGGTGAGTGGCAGAAGAACAGGCGAGTAAAAGCTTCATCATTTATAAACAGGTAGTAGCAGTATTCATCGTTGGGTTGTTGGAATATCAAATGGAAGTAAGTTATCTCATTTTAAGGTTCTAGGACTAGTTTATGGACTTTGGCCATATTATTTTGGTAATATGGGTATACTTGTCTTTCCTTTCAATTCCAGGCAGTTTTTTTTCTCCTCTTCCTACTTATTGGAAGTGATTTTGACAGCAGAAACAGCCTGTTCTCAGAATTGGGCATTCCTCTCTAGTGAGTTGGGGGAAGTGGTTGCTACAGCTGCTACCTTTATTGAGCACCCTGATGGCGAGTAGTAAACTCAGTACAGGCATACCTCATTTTATTGCATTTACGAGATGTTGCATTTTTTACAAACTGAAGAGCCTCTACCAGCAAAAACATTATGACTTGCTTTATTACAATAACTTAGTCGGGAACTGAACCTGCAGTATCTCCAAGGTATGTCTGTATTTTCAAGATGGGCTTAGAGAAATTACCCAGGAAACTTTCTTTAGGTGTGATTTACATATTTGGATTTTTAAAAATTTAACCCAATACAGTCATCTTTGTCTACCCTTTAATTAACTTTTATAGACAATTCTTGTGGTATGTGTGGATTTCTTTTCCTATGCTTTTTTATTCCCTCATAAACAGAAGAAACTTTGTGGGAGAAAAAATAATTTCATCATA